TTATTGCAGGTTTTGCGTGCATTTGGTCCACCCGGTTGATCGGGGTCTACCCACAGGCATTGCATTTCCTGTTTGATGGCCGAGGCAGCAGTTGGCTGATGGCGCATATAGCGTAGAAATGCACCAGCTCCAGCTGGATGCATTGACATTGCATGTTGATGATGATGTACCGACGGGAAATTTGTGTGATGTTGGGCATGATGTGCGGCAGCGTATGGATGCGCATAATCCGCCATTCCCATGCGCATTTGATGGTGATGATGCTGCGCTGCAGCGGCATGATGATGTGGATGAAAAGGATGATTGCCAAAGGATGTGGTTAGATCCGGATGATTGGCATGTGTAGCGGGAAATGTTGGAAATAACATAGAATCGGCCGCGCTGGCAGTGGCAGCACTTTGACCAACCAATTGGGTGCTAGCAGTAGAGGACATGTAATCATTATCGCTACGACGTCCGAGCAGAAAGTCACGTGAGGAATATGAGCCGAGTTGTGTATTGAAGTGACCGTAACCAGTGTTTTGATATGTGGCAGCACCAGCGCTAGCCGACATACTAGCAGATATATCAGCAGTATTGCCAAGCGACATGAGACCATGATGAGTTGGATCCAATTGCTGTTGCTGAGCATGTTGCTGTTGCTGCTGTTGTTGTTGCTGCTGTTGTTGTTGCTGTTGTTGTGGATTGCCTAAGATATCAGTTTGTTGATTAGCGGTATTTGGTGACATACGTAAACCATAAGAAGCCAAATGATGTTGCGCGGGTGAAGGATCGATAAAAGCGTTCATCATCATTTTGTGGCTGTTAGTAAGAGTTTTCGTTTTGAGGGGGTAACTTTTTAGAAGGGGTCTAATTGCTTATGCAATAATAAATGTTTTGAAATTGTAGCTTTTATGCAGTTTATGTGAATTTTATTTACAAATTTATTGCTTCTTGTTTTAATATAGTATAATGTGATACATTTTTTTATAGTACGAATATATTTAGCACTAAAAGTGCAAACAAAATATATTTGTGAAGATTAAACTTCCCTTCTCACTTCACTTCAAGTATTTTAATGCAATTTTCTTCTTTTTCTTTGTGATTGAAGCAATTAATTGATTTTTTTAACACTTAACAAAGTTTAATTAAAAGCACAGTTTTCACACGTTCGCGACGCGTACCGCCTAAGGAATTTCGTGGCTAATTTAGTTTGCCAATTATTTACAAAAAAATTAAATCACAAATATTCTACCGTAGCGTCGGGAGCTCTTGCAAACGAAATACACGACGATACAATTTTTCATTTATGA